CCCTGACAGACACTGCCACCTGTATAGTTTCCCTCATGATGCGGCTGCACAACGTAAGGAGCATTCACCATTCCGCCTGAAAGCAGACTGTAACTCACGAGATAAAATAAATACATCAAAAGCAACCTGGGTGGTTCTCGATTCTCCCTGGCTGTGCAACATCTCCTTGTAGGTAACGATTTTTCGGCACAGACAACGTGACTTTGGACTCCTCATTCCCAAAAGGGGTATCCGTTGCCATTCTTGGGGCATCAGACAAGAAAGAAAGAACAAGTTGGTTGAAATACTGCTCTTTGAATGCACAACCCATTTGAACCAGCAGGGGACGTACATTTATGTGATCAGGGAAGCCACCCGCGTGGCTGGCGCCCGGGTCCCCAAGTGTCCCCTGTCGTTTCCAGTCCAACGGTACCCTATCATCCAGTCCTTACCGCCTCCGCCTCCTTGGTATTTCCACTCAGACACTTGTCAGCCACATCTCAGACTCAGCCTTTCCACTTGTGGGATCCACCCCCACCGGCTGCCATCTTTGCAAATGGCACCCGCGTCCCTGCAGCGGCTTAAACAAAACAGCAAGAAGCCATCTGCCATTAAGCATTGCTTCTCTTCCTTTGCATCCCTTCCCCACAACCCATTAGCCGCACATCCAGTTACTTCTACTGACGACACCTGTTTAGAACCCAGGCGTCGTTTGCCATTCCGAATGCCCTCTTGTGGGCCAGCCCACCATCAGCGCCCACACAGCCTGGGCCACCACCCCCTCTTCTCCCGTCACTGCGTCCTGTGGCCCTGCTGGGAGTCACCCAACTTTGACCATCAACCCAGCTCCTCCCCACCCTTCACCGTCAGCCCAAAGATAGCTCTTATCTGAAACATCGGGAGCTTTGGGACAAGTTGGTGCTCACCCAGCACCACCTAAAATTTCAGAGATGCCGTCGATAAGCGCTAAGGCTTGTCCGGGAAGGCAGTCTCAGGGAAATCACCGGCAATCAGGGCCGCCTTCCTGAGGTCGACCCATACTGTCACACACAAGTCCCTCTCCCAAGGATCGGCCACCCTGGCTGAATGCCGCGCGGTCCCCATCCCCACATCCGTAAGGATTTCCAAAGAAGGAGCTTCAGGGTTTCGATTCTGCTCTGTGCCCCTCAAATGGTATAGCCCGTCCTGAGCCAAAGGGGGAGGCCCCCAGGCTGAATGTGCTTATGCCATTATTACTCACGCTGACAACGTACAAAGGAAGCTTTAGATACAGAAGACCTGTCGCTGCAAATACGCCAATTGTGAGTGTTTCTCACAGCTGGGTTTTGGGAACAGTCCCTCGGGGTGACAGGGCGTCTGGATCGCTGAGTAAAATTCTGCTAAAAGGAAACAGGGATTTCTTTCCAGTTAAGAAAGGACACAGGTGAGAGACATGTGGAGGGATATTTGCATTTTCCCGGTGGATGCTTTGCTTGCCTTTTATCTAAGTGCAATGGGAAATGGGGTAACCTGGGTGGTTCAGTCGGTGAAGCAGCCCGCTCGTGGTCTCAGCTCCGGGTCTTGATCTCAGGGTCATGAGTTCAAACCCCAGGCTGGGCTCCACATTGGGGGTGTAAAGCCTGCTCAAAAAATTAAATTAAACTAAATTAAATTAAAAAGAAAAGAAAAGAAAAGAAAAGAAAAGAAAAGAAAAGAAAAGAAAAGAAAAGCAGTGGGAATTAGAGGAGAACTTCCTTGGGGAAGCAGCAACGAGCTGTGTGAATCAGAAATCCACATTTTCCACCTTGATGTCCACCCTACAGAACGCCACCCGGAAATACCTACTGCTGCACTGCCACCATGCAAATCCCACACCCCAAATTCTTGTCCCCAGGGAATACAGACGTCGCCCAGACACTGTCCCTCAGGGAGAGTCGGGCTGCGTCTATCACCCACTGTGTTCTGGACGCTCACTCCGGCACCAGAGGCTGGGGCTCGGTCCCGGACGTCACATAACGCCGGCCCTACGGGTCTTCACCACCTATCCCTCCATCCAAGTTGGAATTTCCTCCTGAAAATCCCAAGGGCATCCAGAGTCACGTCTCTTGAGGGATTCTGAGTCCAAAACGCCATTGTACGTAGATGGACTGTTTCCTTACACACTGTGTGTCCAGGACCAGAAGAGTAGAGACTGAGGGCTACGCAACACATTGGAATCACTTGTACGCATATCCCACCTCGAATTATCGTTTTCTGCCCCATCCCTGGAGCAGGAGGGCCTCAAGACAGGAGAAACGATGCCTCATTGCTCCACATGTGTCTGGATTCTTCTAGGTGTTTGATTAATGCTTCACTCTACTCAGAATGGAGGCTCAAAAACACATCACAAGTATGACTTGTAATCGACGTGTTATTGCTGAGGGTCATCGAGATGGTGAAGTGTGCACGCTGAGTATTCTCTCTAGGTCTGACGGTGTGTGTTTCTTTAATTTTTGCTTTCTGCTATTCTTACCAGAAAATTTAAGTCAGAACCTCCCCCCCCCCATCACATAACATAATTACCTCTTAATGTGCACAAAGCAGGCGGGGGTGAATTTCCTGATCCCATCAAAGGGGACACTCTGAAAAGAGTATCGATGCCTTGCAAATTCCTTTTTCAGGAATGCAGTTTAAACGTATGCTATTTTTCACTTTTAAAAAAATGAGAGAAATGCATACATTTAAAAAGTTGTTTCTTAGGAATTTTGAGTCAGGGGTGCACACAGCTATATTAGTGCGCCCCCTCGTGGTTAAATTAGTCTAAGGATTAAAAGCATCTATCACTCAAAAAAGTTTAGATTAGCTATTGAGGACGGGGGAAAGAAAGTAAATTTTTTATATATAAAATGATTTTTAGAGGACTTTTAGGTTCATGGCAATATTGAAAAGAAGGCGTAGCCTCCATGACATCATCATCACAGGAAAAAAAGCTTTTATGTCAGGATACATGTAGAGACATTTTTATGGTTTATAACTCTATCCGGGATAATGGTTAACCGATGGCGTTTGTGACAAGGGACCAAGGAACACAACCTTTCGATCTATGACACACCTTACATTTTAACCTACCTATTTTAAGGTATCTTCAAAACACCTCATCAAAAACAACTACTTTCCTAGTGCTGTGTATTGGGCCGTGTGCTAAGACCTTTATGGGAATTATCTCCGTGAATCTCCACAAAAGTCCTTGACGTGGGTGTGGTTGTTACTGGCATTTTTAAATTAACATTCTTTTTGTTGTTGTTGTTAAGTTTATTTATTTTTAAGGGGTGGGCAGAGAGAGAGGGAGACACAGAATCTGAATCAGGCTCCAGGCTCTGAGCTGCCCGCACAGAGCCCGATGCGGGGCTCGAACCCACGAACTGTGAGATCACCACCTGAGCTGAAGGCAGACGCTTAACCGACTGAGCCACACAGGTGCCCCTGTTATCGGCATTTTATACACAGAGATACTGAGGCAGTTAAGTGGGCCAAAGACGCGTGGCTGGTGACAAGGTCAAGGTCAAGAGCTACTGAATTCTGTAGGCCATTTGTCTCATCTCTACCGATACCACGATGCAGACTGGAAATGTGTCGTTGGCTGTACATGGCTTGTTTTCCCTACAGCCTTCACTTCAGTGTGTGACTTGGGGACATAGAAGGGACAGAGCTGGGACCTGAGACCACTCCTGAAGCGTGTGTCACCACCCTGAGGTCTAGAGTGAGTCCTCCTCTGGGATGTGGCCTTTCTTGGTCAGTCCCCTGAACCACTGCCCACTCTGTCTCCTTCACCCATAAAATAAGCGGATTTGTTGACAAAGTCTCGGAAGATCTTTCTCAGGCTAAAGCGCTCCGATTCTCTTCTGTGACATCCTAAATTCAAAATGAACCTTCTCATACGATGTGTCATAAAATAAGCACGTGTTGGACATCTCCGGACAGGCAGCGGTCGAGAAACGACAGCCTATGTAACTAATCCTTTTATGGGCAGGTAAGGCCCAACATGGGTGCCTGAGATCACCCAGAAGACCAACAATATCCAATATTAACACGGTTATTTGCGTCTGATAGTTGTGCATGGGTACGTGGGGTGTGTTCTCCTGAGCACGTTACACAGCAATTTCCGAGCCCCGGATGCTTTATCGGTTACGTAGTTAGTGTAGCAGACTGAATGGTGTCCCTGAAAAAGGGGGTTATTAAGATCATAACCCCTGGTAGCTGTGGATGTTTCCTTCTTTGAAAATAGGCTCTTTGCCGATGTCAAGATGACATGTTATGAATCCAGTGACAGGTATCCTTTTAAAGAGAGGGGACTTGGGGGCAGGCACACAGGAAGGGAAGAAGACCACCGAACGACATTGATGGACACCGGAGTGATGTGTGTAAGTCAAGGGAACCCGAGGATTGTGGGCACCACCAGAGGTGGGGACACATCCAAGCCGTGAAGGATTCTACCCATAGCTTCAGAGAGAGCACAGCCCTGCAGAGGCCTTGATTGAGGAGATCCATCAAGGCAGCCGGAGCAAACTCATGCAAGGACTCCTACCCAAAGTAGACTCCATGAAACCTCTGGCACATCCTCAGGGCAAAATCCATGCACCTGCCCCCCAAACCTTTGATGGACTGCTCTCCATTCCCTTTCAGTGGATGAAAATAAACCATTTGGCTCCTCACCTTACTGGCTACTTTAGACCAGTTCCTTTCAATGCATTATGATTTAATCCGTGTTATTTGCCAACTATTCAATTATTTCAATGACTCAGTACAAATTCAATCCTAATTTCAATTATTATTCTTTAATGGCTGATTTTTCCCCCTTTTCCCTATCCACGAGTTAGGTGCACACAGGACCCCGATACACCTTTACCACCAAGAACAGAGAAGAAGTTGACAGATAGTGTTAAGCACCAATGGGGATTGAGTAATCTGGAATGCTAGAGGACTCCATGGGCTCTTCAATTCCTTCCTTGAAATTTTCCAGCCTCGGTTGACCTTGCCTGCCTCTGCTCAACCTTGGCTCTTCCTCATGCTCCCATGGAGATCGTGTTCTCTTCCTTGTCACACAGGCAAAATGGGAACACTGCGCAGCAAGGCTTGATCCATATGTTATCCCGATTCAAGTCTGAAAGCTGCATCCGCACGGGAGTGATGCTCTTCTTGTGTTCCTTCACGGCGTTGGCCACCGTCTGGATCACCACGTTGTACAAGGGCTCCGTGTCCGGCGTCAGAGGCGTAGACTCGGAGGGGTCCCTGGTGATGTCAAAGAGCAGAGGAGGGTCGTGGTAGGTGACGAGCTTTCCCGAACACCGGCAGTAGAGGGTCTCATAGCAGGCTTGAGCTCCTGGCGGCTGGAACACAGGCGTCACGTAGTGAACCTTCCACACAGCCTCGCCTGGACACGAAAAGACACATCAGACACATCCAACCCAGGTGCCAACTGAGTTTGTGTTCTACATTTCAGGCATCCCTCCGGGTCTCTCTCCTTGCCCGTAGGTGAATGAAAATATCATTCAATCCTTAGAACACTAAGAAATCAGACTCCCCTGGTATAATTTATTTATTTATTTTTTAAAATTTTTTTATTTATTTCGAGGACAGAGAGAGAGACAGCGTGAGCAGGAGAGGGTCAGAGAGAGAGGGAGACACAGACTCCGAAATAGGCTCCAGGCTCTGAGCTGTCAGCACAGAGCCCGACGCGGGGCTCGAACCCACGAACCGAGAGATCATGACCTAAGCGAAAGTCGGACGCTTAGCCGACTGAGCCACCCAGGCGCCCCTCCCCTGGTATAATTTAAATATGCTGGGAACCACCTCCACATTTTGCGTCTCAAAACATATTATTCCTTAAAGATATTTCCTGTCATTCTAAAGACAGTGATTCTCAGAACGTTTTCCAAGAAGGTATTTTCAGTGGCCACCCTGGAATAAATGGACTTGTCGCAAGAAAGCGTTGCAAATGCACTTGAGTGGCTGTAGTCTTGGCGTCCACAGCAAGTAGGGGCTCGTGTACTCACTGTCCTTTGGATGCCAGCGTGCGGCGTGGAGAAACAAACCACAGTAGTGAAACAAGAACTCATGCTCCGAGCGCTCCACATCTCCCTGAAGCAACGGCATGAGGTCCTGGCCATCGATCACCCTGCGGATACACGCAAAGGACATCAGGTCAGGGGACCTTGGACACCGGCTGTTTGAAGGATGGTCAGTGCGTTGCATGACGTTTCCCAGGTCCAGACAACAGTGTGCTCGCTGTTCGGGAAATCCACACACAATGTCAGGGACATTACACTCTCGTGGGGGACACGGGAGGGGGGAAATTCAAGCTCTTAGGAGAAGAATGCGTCCATGCATGTCCCTCTCAAGAGGATTTGTGGATCTGCCCACAGAAGCTCTCAAAAGCTTGGTGTTCTGGATGAGTTCCCAAATCAGAATTTCATGGGGCGCCTGGATGGCTCAGGTAAGCATCTGACTCCTGATTTCAACTCAGGTCATAATCTCACGGTTCATGACTTCGAGCCCCACATCAAGCTCTGCAGTAGCCTGCTTTAGATTCTCTCTCTCTTTCTCTCTGCCCCTCCCCTGCTCTCTCTCTCAAAAATAAATAAATAAACATTCAAACAAACAAAGAAACAAATCACAATTTCACGTGCAATTGCTTTTCTACTCTTAAAGGGCAGCTTACAGAACCACTAAACAAATCTTATATTTTTCCTCTTATATTAGAAAAATGGATCTTCTTTTTGTTATTTTTTATATATTTATTTTATTTTGAGAGACAGAGAGCGAGCAGAGGACTGGCAGAGAGAGAGGGAGACACAGAATCTGAAGCAGGCTCCGGGCTCTGAGCTGTCAGCACAGAGCCCGACGCAGGGTTTGAATCCACAGACCGTGAGATCATGACCTGAGCTGAAGTCAGACGCTTAACTGACTGAGCCTCCCAGGCGCCCTGAAAAATGGATCTTCTATCTCATGTTAGAAAACAGTGATAATAAAACCTACTTTACCATAGGAAATACAATATGTGTCTGATAATCCTAATAATGATCATGAAAGAAATAACTCTCTCTATATTCTCAGATACAATGATTGCCTGTGTTGATAATCCCTTAAAAGGACTGTGGACTAATTAAGTTTAGCAAGGTCAGAAGTATAGAATTTTATTTCTATATCTTAGCAATGAACACCTGGAGATCCATTTTTTCCAACTAGCATTTACTACAAGGTCACAAAACGCTTTTTCCAATGTTAAAATTTTGTGTACCGAGCCACAATACATCTGATAAGAGAACTGGATGTCAGAGAGGTAAACAATGTTCATAGATTGGAAGACACAACCCAGAATAGCTTAAATAATTGTTAACATGAAGGAACTAGTTTGAGGATTCATACTAAATCATTCCAAAATTTAGTTCAAAGCAAGAGTAATCAAGCCTGTGTAGTCAGGTCATAAGGGTGAGCATATGAATCAGTGAAACAGGAGAGAGTCCAAGAGATAGACTGATTGTCCGTCAATTGCCTTTCAACAAATGTCCAATGTAATCTAGCAGAGGAAGAACCATCTTTCCATAAATATCACTAGAATGAGTGAGTGACTATCTAAATGCAAGAGAAATAAATCTCAACCCATACCTCATGCTATATATAAAAACTATCTCAATATGGACCATAAGTTTAAATGTAAAACCTGAAACTGAAAAAAAACACTGGAATCATAGCAGAAAGTCCTTGTGACTTTTGAATAGAAAAATGCGTTTTAGGTATATTATAAAACTTAGCATCTATAAAAGAAAAAAGAGGTCTCTGCATGGCTCAATTGGTTAAGCACCCGACTCTTGCTTTCAGCTCAGGTCATGATCTCACGATTCGTGGGATCAAGCCCTGCATTGGGCTCTGTGTTGAGCATGGAGCCTGCTTGGGATTCTCTCTCTTCCCTCTCTCCCTCTGCCCTTCCCCTGCTTGAGAGCCCACAATCTCTCTCAAAAATAAATAAATAAACATTTGCAAAAAATTTAAGAGGTTTTTAAAAAAGAGGAGTAAATTGACCCGTATGAAAATTAAAAAGTTCTTTTCAAATAACAAGGTAAGAGAATGAGCAGAAGCCACAGAACGGAAGATACGACCGGCAAAACACAGATCTGATGATGAATTTGTGTTCGAAATATGTAAAGAACTCTTACAATTCAACAATAAGAAAATAAAATGCCCACTTTAACCAAAAAATGGACAAAAGATTTGAACAACACTTGGCAAAGAATGGACATGGATGGGCCAATCAGCACATGGAGATGCGTCCAACACCATCAGTATTAGGGAAACACCAATTAACAACCATGATCAGACCCAACTACATTGTTATTATAATGATTACGATGGAAGAATGACCATAGCAGGTGTGGCCAAAAATGTGGACCAGTTGGTAATCATACACATTGTTGGTGGGAATGCCAAACGGGGCTGCCATTTTGAAAGTCCATCTCACAGTTTCTCATAAACATTTATTGATAATATGACCCATTTTTCCCACTTTTGGTCATTCACTCCAAAGAAATAGCAATTGATATCTACCTAAAGACCTCTATGCAAACATCCAATGCAACTTTAATCATAAAAGGCAAGTTTCTTTCTCCAAAGCACACATGCCTTTCAAAATTTCATGGAGTCCCTCAGCTCAGTTTTCCACTGAAGAGCAAAAAGAAATTATAGGGAATAAAGATAAGATGTTTGTCGAGCTAATTCTGCAAAAAATAAAAGCCAAATCAATCATATGAAGGAAATTCTAATCAGAGCTCAGAGGACAATATTTCTTGGGATTGTAATTGTGGATAACACTTTGAGCCCAATATATAGATTATAGTAATGTCCCAAAGGCAATGCACCCCACTGATGTCTTAGAAAATTATTTTATGACTGTAACTGGCTCAGTTAAATAAAAAGGTACAAGGGTGCCTGGGTGGCTCAGTTGGTTATGTGTCCAACTCGATCTCAGCCTAAGAGCTTGGGTCTTGATCTCACCGTTTGTGAGTTCAAACCCTGTGTTGGGCTCTGCACTGGTCATGAAGTCTACTTTTTAAAAAATACTACATCTATACTAACATTACTATGGTTTTTTTTAAAAAGTGGATCCTTTAGGGGTGCATGAGTGGCTCAGTTGATTAAGCACCCGACTTCAGCTCAGGTCATGATCTTGCGGTTCGTGAGTTCGAACCCTGCAACTGGCTCTGTGCTGACAGCTGGGAGCCTGGAACCTGCTTCGGATTTTCTCTCTCTCTCTCTCAAAAAAAGGAATCATTTAGCTCAGATCGATAAATATGCTTCTTAGGACAATGGAATTGTATTGTTACTATTGTATATAAATTCTCAATAAGTCCTATTATCCCCTAAAATGAAGGATTAAAAAAACATGAATAGGTCTTTCTTTTCTGATGTTTCCAATTTGCTTTCATTCTCTGTTCCTTCCGAACTGCGTGAAGACGGGAACATTAGAATCAGTCTTTGGGCTTACCAGGAAGACGTGCCAGTGGGTTGGAGCCGCTAGAATAAAGTATCCGAAAGTCACCTGTGAGGCTGCCTTGGTCTGTTGTTACAGGAAGGGCCAGGACGCACTAGGAAGTGTCTCATGTTGCTGGGATCGAAAATCATCACGATAGACGTTCGAGTCGCCACGCAATGTCTTACCTTCACATCAGCCTCCGGATCTTGCAGAGCAGAATTCAGGGACCTGCTTTTTCTCTTGCACGGAGGAGTGTTTTACCAGCCACGTACTCATCTCCAAACCTCCCCCGTGAAAACCATACAGTGTCCGAGACCGGGGTCTGGTGCACCCGTGATGCTCAAAAGGCACGGCCATGCACAAACCTCACCTTTCCTAGGTACCTGTGGAGAGAGTACGCTGCCTGGTCCCCACCACTCTGAGAACAACAATGACGTGAACAGTCACTGGGACATCACCTGTCGTGAGGGACCGTGCTTCCTGACACGGCCGCCAGCGTGGGGAAAACGTCCATCAAACTTGTCGGTTCCTCAATCACTTTCCCAGCTGGTAGTCTTCCCGGCCAACGGACCAGCCCCGGGACGCGAATTCCACCTTCCCAGCCGCCCATGCCTTTCCCACCTACGGGGCGAGGCAACAGACTTTCAGGTAAAGAAGTCGTGGCTTCAAAACGTATTTAAAGAAGAGTATTTAAAATATATTTAAATGTCTTTAAAATGTATTCAAAGCCATTCACAGGGATTTAAAACGTATTCGGATGTAGTTAAAAATTAATATCAGTACAGACGATGGGCTCGGAGCAAACCAAGAGGAATGATCATCCTACGAGTGTGCGTGGATTTTTATCCTTTCTTTAAATTACGCAATCACAGCTTGTTCATAAATGGACATCTTTTTCAATGTCCTGATAGGCAAAAATGGAATTTCAAGAATACCGATTTCCCTTAGGGGATTTATTTCCTACTGAACCTGTGTAAGTAGTGCTCATAGAATAATAGATTCAGTTGTTCCGCATTCCGTAGGAAAGCGTGAGTATTAAGACTATTTTCCTCTAGAAAACACCTTGAAATGCCTTTCGATACACGTGCTAACACGTATAGACCATCTTCTAGACAATTTCCTTATGACATATTATACAGACCGGGACAATGTGGTGCCTAACGGACCGTGTTGTCACACACTAAATGTTACATCACGACAAGGAGTCGTGATCTATGCAGTTAATGACAAAACCAGAGACACGCTTGCTCCTGTGTGTTTTAAGACATAACCTTACAAGGCAGCACCAACTCTTCCTTAATAACCCAGGAGTCTCTGCTTTTTGTCCGGCTACCACATTTTTTCCACACCGGGTCTTCTTTCAACAGCCTTATAAACGTTATCAGTGAGTAGATACACTCAGTTCATTGGCAGAGTTGTGCAAAGGCACATGGTTATATCAATACTTTATAATCTCACAGGGTTTCCAGGGAGGGAGATTTCTGGATGTGACTTCAGCAGAGCACCCGCCGTGGGGGCTAATTTCCTCAGGAATCGTGGCAAATTTAAGGCCAACTTCCTTGGTTATTATTAGCCCTGCACTTTATTTTAGCCGGAGCCAAATGAACTTGTTAAGGCCAATTTCCTTAGTTGTTCACTTGTTTCTGCATTAATCGGTTCACTTCAGAGATTTCCATTATCATGAGCACAAGAAAGCTTGTTTACAGCCAGACCCGGCTCACCACCCCCCTCCTCACCTTTGTATATTCCGTTCCATCCCCCGACCTGGACGTGGCCCGCCCGTGCCTCCAAATGCCCACCATTGTCCGATGTGAAGTAGACGAGAGTGTTGTTCGTCACACCGAAATCATCGATGGCATCGAGAAGCTTGCCTGAAATAGTTAAAAAAAAAAAAAAAAAAAAAAAAAACAAAGGAAAGAAAAGAAAAAGAAAAACAGGGACACGTGTAATGAATGTCATGATGAGCCTTGGGCTGTCTTCAGAAGTCATTGCAAAAATGTCTCTTCTCCACGATGCACCTGCTTACGGTGGGTGAAAGTGTGAGCTCCACACAGTGTGTGGTTGTGAATTTCTTCTCAATTCCTCACCCCCATCTCATGCTGGGCGCACAGTTGTGTTACATTACTAATGAAAATGCATTTATTTTCTATTATTACTATTTTCCATTGCTATATTATTGCGTAATAATATTTACTTTTTTAAAGATTTTATGATACGGATGCCAGTATTTATACTGGTGAGCCCCAAGTTACGTTTCGCTTTTGCCGATTTTTCTTTTCGGGGCGTCATTGTTTCTATTCTTGATTTCCATGCACATCTTTACTAAGGAGCGAGACTCTGTAACATTGGTAATCGGTCCTCTGTTTGCAAGGAGCCTGAGGCGCGCGATTTATGAGTATGCCTTTGGCATTTCGCGAGGCCTCACGCTCTTTGCCTCTGATGTGACTTCCCTGTGTTTTACTAGCTCTGTGCTCACGTGTTGTGTGTGTGTGTGTGTGTGTGTGCGTGTGTGTGCACGTGAGTGTGTCTGGGTCACTCACTTTGTGAACATATTTCTATATATTGATTATTGGTATCGGAGCTGCTATGAATGGTAGCCTATCACGCATATATCTTGAAACGGGTTATCTTTAACATAAAGAAAAAGTATGACTTTTGGTGTGTATTTCTAACAGACACTGCCACATATTTATATATGTACATGTATGTTAGAGTACATACATACATAGAAGCATAATAAACTACGTATACTGTTACACTGAGTCTATGCTGGGAATATACTATATAATGATCTCAATATCTTATATATTATCTCAATGCCTGTATTATTATATATTATTGCTATAGTATTTATTAATGTAGCATGCTATTTTTTTATAGTTTATTTATTTTTGAGACAGAGACAGAGCATGAGTGGGAGAGGGTCAGAGAGAGAGGAAACACAGAATCTGAAGCAGCTCCAGGCTCTGAACTGTCAGCACAGAGCCCGACGCGGGGCTCGAACCCATGAATTGTGAGATCATGCCCTGAGCCAAAGTCGGTCCCTTAACCGACTGAGCCGCCCAGGCTCCCCTAGCATGCTATTAATAATATAATAAACTGATGATCTATGTATTTGTTCTATGATATAGTAGTACATGATATACTATTGCTACTGATTCCATGTATATGCTATATTATATTATTATATTTTATATTATATATTATATATGTGAAGCGTATATTTAAGTCGATGTCGGAAATCCTGTAAGTATTTTCACAGTTACTACCTAATTATTATTATTATTTTTTTTTTTTTGCTTATGTTTGAGAGAGAGCATGAGCACAAGCCAGGGAGGGGCAGAGAGAGGGAGACAGGATCCAAATTGAGCTGTGGCCGCAGAGAGCCTGATGTGAAGCTAGGACTCAAGAACCGTGAGATCATGACCTGAGCCGAAAGCGAGAGCGAGACTCCTAACCTACTGAGCCAGCCCGACGCCCTCATTTAAACTTTAGACGTTCGTGTTATAACTGGTTTTGAATGCGTCTGTGCATATGACTTTCCCAGGCGGTTGTGCCCTCTCCCGCCTCCGGCCCCGCCCGGGGGACCTGCCCTACACACCCCACCCGTAACCTAATCGCAGCCGTCATGCTGCCGTGCACAAGCCTCTCCTCGCGCTCACCCGTCCCCTCCTCCGCCTCGGGCTGGACTCTCACCGTCTCCTCCTGTTCCCAACAGACCTGCTCTGAGCTACTGAATTCCCCGGACTCGTTTCAGACGCCTCACTAATTGGGTCCCGGCCAGACAACTTGCCCTGGGTTGGGTAGGGGATGTCATCTGCCTTGAAATCCTCTAGGCAGGTTTGAGGAAGCAGGAAGCCACATGGGATGGGGGCAGAGAGTTTCTGGAGCTTTCCAAACAGCTGTGAAGTGACAGCCCGTAAGAGCGAGTCTGAGGGCTTACAGGACGCATTAGAAGAACCCACCGTGTTTCCTCATCTCTCCCCGTGTACCCTCCTGTCTACACCAGCAGCCGCTGAGGTGGCGTGTAGGAGTGCCTGGCTTCCGACCTGCTTCCCCAGCAGCCTGCCCTGTAACCTCGGGCACACTCCCCCAGGACCCCGAGCTCTCGTTCCCGCATCGGCCAAGGGGATGACGGTGGTGAATGCGGACCCCGTCTCCTTAAAGGCTTCCGGAGCTCGACCCAGAACACACGTGCCCTGCGTCAGAGGCTGGATTCGATCCGTGGATCCCACTGACCAGTGGTAGAAAGGGCGCTTCGCCTCCCCAGAGGGTGGCTGTGATACCCCAAGCGGAAACCAAGAAAACCTTCCAATGAAGGAAACATTCTAAGGCGGAGATCAGAGACTGCTGGCATTTGGGGGTTTGTTACAGAATCCAGGGTGGGGATGTTGCAGAAAAACAAACTGTTTTTTTGTTTGTTTGTTTGTTTGATTGGTTTGGTTTGGTTTGGTTTTTAACTATTTCTGAAATGACATACGGAAACAGAGGATTGCTGGCCTGGACAGACAGCCGACACACAGCCCGTGGGCACCCACGCTTAGATATTTCAAAAAGTTTGTATTGATTTACACTATTAAAGCAAATAGAATGTTTCTGTTCTTTTTTTGTTTGTTTTTACTGATCACATCCTGAGTTGGAGTTAGTGACAGACACACACACACACACACACACACACACACACACACACACACCTATGCCTGCATAGACACAGAACTGTGTGCCTATATCTCGTTAAATACCATTTAGATTTAAAATAATTTTTAGGGTGCCTGCGTGGCTCAGTCGGTTAACCGTCCGACTTCAGCTCAGGTCATGATCTCACGGTTCGTGGGTTCGAGCCCCACGTCGGGCTTTGTGCTGACACCTCGGAGCCTGGAGCTGCTTCCGATTCTGCGTCTCCCTCTCTCTCTGACCCTCCCCCGCTAATCTTGTGTCTCTGTCTCTCAAAAATGAATAAACATTAAAAAATATTTTTTAATAAAATAATTTTTAAAGGTTGTCTATATTTTGAAGACTGTGAATTGACCACGCTTCCGTGGCTCCCCTGCGCTCAGGCTCGATTCCCGAGGCATCTCTGTTTCCCGAAATCTGTTTCAGGCCAGCATCTTACAGCTGGAGATTATGGTACCGCCAGAGAGTGCTTTTCTGAGACCTGCGGCAAGGACTCGCACCTGCGGCGTCCTTGAGGCTGGCCGAGGGCGCGCGTGGGGGTCCTGAACCGACGGAGCACGGGGTCTCTTAAGAGTCCTGTGCCACTTACCCACCATGGAGTCCATCTCCTGGATGTTGTCGCAGTACCGGCCATGCTGGCTGGTGCCCATGAACTCGGTGGTCGTGGGGAGCGGTATGTGTACGTGCAGAAAGGAGAACATGAGGAGGAAGGGTCCTTCGCGGTGCCTGAGGACACAGCAGTCACAAGGCTCATGGGTCTGCTGGGTCCGTGAGAGGTAACTGCATTTACTGAGTCTGTCCCTCCTCTGCGCTCCCTGGGAGAGGGGACGTGGGCACCAGGCAGCGGCGTGGCTGCCGTGGACTCCTGAGTTCCCCAGGGTCCGGAACGTTCCCTGGGGCACGTGCACTCCTCAGTGACGCCGCCAGACACAAGACCATCCAGGTCCCATACTCTCTCTCCCAGGGCTGATGCCAGCTCACCCAACAGACCCATCATCTCTGGCTGATGCCAGAGTCACACCCAACAGACCCAAGGGATGCCCGTCCAGGAGTCGTTCTGTGGAATCGCCAGCTCTTTTGCAAGAGACAGACGCGTCGTAGCAAGCTGTCCCCACACCTTTGGCCCTTCCTGTCTGGACACAGGAAACAAGGCTGACCTACTTCGAGCCCTGACGGTCCCCGGGGAAGGTACGTCCTCAGCTAAGCGGGGCAGAGCGCAACACAAAAGCCACTCTTCGGGAAGTGTGGGCTCTGACGACATGTCACGGTGTAAAGAATGAAGGGAAATAATGAAATAATAATAATAATCAAGCTGTGCCATGGTGAGCTGGGCGGAGTGGCTGGCGTCCCTCCAAAACTGATGGCCACCTGTCGGCTCAGGTGATTGCATTTGCGAACCGACTCTTTGGCGGTGTAATTAGTGGAGACAAGGTCATCCTGGAGTGGATGGGGCCAGAACGCAATAACAGGTGTCCTTTTTTTAAAATTAATTTTTTAGTGTTTTATTTATTTCTGAGAGAGAGAGAGAGACAGATGGACAGCATGAGCAGGGGAGGGTCAGACAGAGAGGGAGACACAGAATCCGAAACAGGGTCCAGGCTCTGAGCTGTCAGCACAGAGCCCGACGCGGGGCTCGAACCCACAAACCATGAGATCATGACCTGAGCCGAACTCAGACCCTTAAACGACTGAGTCACCCAGGTGCCCCAAGAACAGGTGTCCTTAAAAGAAATGGATGGTTCGGAGATATGCAAACGCACACAGCAAAGGAGGCTTTGGGAAATCAGAGGCAGAGATTGGAGTCATGCATGCAAGGAACACCCAGCACTTACAGCTTTTGCAGGGAGCTCAGCCCTGCAGTCACCTTCATTTGGGACTTTTCTGGTGTCCAGAGTCATGGAGACTACATTTCTGCTGTTTTAAACCCCTCTGTCACTCGTACTTTGTAATTAGAGCCCTAGGAAGCTGCTATATGTGTTAGTTAGGAGTGAGATTATACAGATGGTGCCTCACATGGCCTAAGGGAATCTGCAGATGTAATCAGGTTCAGGAACTTAACACAGGGTGATAATTCTGGATTATCTGGGTGTGGACCCACACAGTTACAAAGTTCCTTGTAAGAGGGAGGCAGTAAGGACAAAATCAAACATAATGTGATGCAGAGATGCAGGGAGACAGCTATGAGACAAAGAAAGTGCAGCCTCTCCAACCCTGGACAAAGAACGCTGTTCCCTAAAACCTGCAGAACAAGTTAGTCCCGCCAATGCCTGATTTCAACGCCATTAGGTGAGTTTTGGGTTCCTGACCTCCAGAACCGTGAAATAACAAATCTGTGTTGCTTTAAGCCATCCCCTCTTGCCGAAATCTGTTTCAGCAGCCAAAGAAAACTCACACACCCAAATCTGGATAAAAGCAAGCTCCAGCATCCCTGAACCCACTCGACCTGCTCAAGGCCACGCTGCTAATCAACAGAGCGGCTTCTGAATCTCCAAGTCCCCATTCCTCTCTGACATGGTGCCACGATGGATCGTATAGACCTTCTGAAACTCAGCACGGGGTTTGGTGATGGATGTACATTTCCACACCCCAGCATTTGTTCCTGAGGCACGAATGTAAATGGTAAGCAACAGCACGAATTGGACAGAGTCACTCACCTTGAGTTCTCACTGTGATCAATCCTCATTGCAACATGCTGGTGCGTCCCTCAGGAAAGCATCTACACCTTTACACATGTGGCAGATACCAGGGAATAAGGAGTTTGCCCTGAATGAACCCAGCTGTTGCATTACATCTATAAGGCAAAGACGGTTTGATCTCTCTCTCTCTCTCTCTCAGAGTATACATTTGTATTGTGTCCTCCTGGCCTGTGGGGGAAGGAGAAAGCTAGCGACAGGTGGCCCAAGATCTGTGATGCCACCAATCGACTCTACAAGTCAGTCAAACACACCAGCTTACAGATCCCTACCCCACGATGACTCGTCTTCACACATTACATCTCCAAAGACCCGACTCCTAAATGAGATCACATTGTGAGCTTCCAGGCAGACATGAAGTTTGAGGGAACGCCGTTCCACCCTACCCTAATCCAACTCACCATGGCACAACTTCATTTTTAATCTACGTTTTCCCCTTTCTTTACATTTTGATATCTGTCAGAGCAGAAATTTCTCAGCGTGGCGTTTCTGTTCTGTGCTTCCCTGCTTGACTGAGGACCGATCTTCCTTGCGCTCCATTTGGGAATGCCTGGCCGCTTCTTCGTCCATCTTGTTCTCACTCACCTTTGAAGATCTAGTTGACGTATCTTCTCAAGTATGACTTCCCTGATATCTTGGAAGGTTCCTACAGTTTGGGCTGATACCACCCTGAAGTTGTGCCCATCCCCTATTTCTTTATCATGGCCTCGTCCATCAATTGTCATCACCAAATGTGTACTTGTCCTTAAAACCCACTCCCCAGGATGGTGATCAGTAAAGACAAAAGGTGAGTAAAAAATGTGTTCACAGCCTTTTCCTAAATAAAGATCCATCAACTAGATGTTTCTAAATGTGGATCCCTTGAAAAAGGGATGCAAAGGGCTTTCTAATGATCACCAGTGACCTTAGCTGAATCATATCCCTTACGTATCACATGCTCAGCAATATGCCCTCTGATTTTAATCAGATTTTAAATCTCAAAGAGGTGGTTTCCCTAATAGGAAAAAGAATGAGGTATCTTACCGCAGCTTACTCTACTATCTGTTTCCTGGCAAGTACATTTCCCATTATACATTAATATGCAAACTATGCATTGCAAATTTATAAGCCAGATTTGTAAGTCTGAGTCTAGTGTGAGTCTACCTGCTTGGTCTGACCAAATATGAATTTCGAGGCCAAAAGAGATATTGTCATTTTAATAACAGGAACTTAAATGAGATACCACCTTCCTACACACTTCCTGAACAGCCCAAGTGAATTCTAAAACATGCAGTATTGTATTGCCTAGCCCTAGCTAGCAATATTCCATTTCTTAAGTCAATACTGTTCAGATCGTCACCTCTTATTTTTTTTTTAAACACTCATTCTCTTCTGTTTTTAAGACTCCTGTCTTTGAAATACTCATTCCTAAGTCCATTAAAATACATGGGTTTTTTAAAAAATTACCTTTACCTTTCCATAAACGAAATCGCCTCCTTCAGCATGATGGAACCAGCCCGCTCTGCCTTCATCGGCTGTTCAGTGATCTCTTGCTCGCGCATGAGCAGGCAATCCCAGTACAGAGATGATCTGTAACTAGAGAACCACAAGTAGCCCAGCAGAAAAATAAAAAGAACCATGGAGAAGATGAAGGACCAGGGGACAGAGATCAAGCCACTCAGTTTCCCCAAGGCAGCTGTGACTGCAGCAATGGCGACCAGCTGCACGCAGAGCCAGATTTTGCTCCCGATGGCTAATTCCGTGTCCCGCGAAGGATCCGGCCAGCAACTTTCAATCAGAGTGAACGGCATGCCATAAAAGTAATCAAACCCATAATTATATGGGTGATGGCAGTGGTCATGTCGGGAATCACAGTTTAAGCCTTGATGCCATTTGCCTGAAATTACAAACAGACAGATGATGCACTATATGCACACACGCCGCAAAGACTGCGTGAATCCTCTTCAAGCTGAACATGTGATTCAGGCACAAAAAATGGAGAAGCAAATAGTTTTTCTTTGCTTAAAATTCTTGAGTTCAGCACCAACTCACCTTTGACTCTTCTTCATTCACAAACATCTGTGTTAAGATCTGGCTGTCAGTGACCAAATAGGATGAAAATTAAAGGGAGAAAAATACACTTGTGAGTTTGTAGCAAAGATGTGACCTGGCCAGTTTCTCATTTACTGGAAGGAAAAAAGTCATAGCCACAAAGATGAAAACATGAGACACTCAGGGTAGACTATAGATGATGTCTAGATGGGTGAGTAGGTAGGTAGATAACTAGATATTAGATAATGAGATAGATATGATATAAGATGGGTAGATGGATAGATGGATACATGAATGGTAGATGAATGGATGGATGGATGGATGGATGGATAGATAGATGTAAATTATGGCCATAAATATAAATGATAGAGATAAGATAATTGATGCATGATGAATAAATGGTGGATGGGTGGAGATAGTAGATAGATAATGATAGATACAAATAAATCTTGGCAGTTAGATGGGTAATGTATATATGTATACATAGGTGGATAGATAAACAGATATATGATGGATGTGTGGTTGGATGGATAGATGGATACATAGATAACAGATATAGATAGATAGATAGACAGATAGATAGATGACAGATAATAGATAACTGATGGAGGATGGACCAAGCATGCATGAATAGATGGCTGGCTAGCTGGTGGGCTGGAATCTCAGGGTCTCCCACTAAAGTTAAGTAAACTTTATTTGAAAAAAACTTGCCACATGTTTAAATAGTAACAAAAAGATCCATGGGTGTCCTGCTAACATGAGGACTCGAACAGAATATACGATCATTTGTGTCCACTAAAATGTTAATAGCTCCCCGCATGGAGTTAGGGTCACATGAAGGATGCACACACATCTCAGAGCAGCTCCGGTGCTAAGCAGAGGAGAGCCAAGACTACTGGCCCACGCTTTTCTGTCCTGCACCTCCATGAAGATTGTCTTCTCTGATCAATCTCAAGTTGGTTACAAGAAATTTAAAATAGCATGTTATCCTGGAAGCACCCAGGTAGCTCAGTCAGTTAAGCGTCCACCTCTTGATTTTGGGTTAGGTCATGATCTCACCATTGTGAAATCGAGACCGATGCTGGGCTCTGCACTGACAGCATGGAGCCGGCTTGGGATTCTCTCTCTCTCTCTTTCTCTTCCCCTCTCCCCTGTTCTCTCCCTCTCTCAAAATAAATAAACTTTAAAATAAGATGTTATTCTCATGCCAGTTGAAACCCAGGCTCTCAAATAAAGACAGTAGGTGTAGCTACACTTGGGTCATCATTGGCCAAGGTCTTTCCTCTTGGGCAGTGAGAAAAGAGACATCCAGACTACATCTGTAGTTCCATTTTAATGAAATAACGAAGTAGTCAAGAGAACACGCATGGAGAAAACATGCAAGGCACAGAGGGCCTGACAAATCGGATCCTAATGTGAGACATTTTTGCCTTAAACATTTTATGTGTTCCAAGCAGTTTCCTGTCTGTGAAATGAGGGAGATGGGTTATTCTCGGGCATTCCTTCTGCCTGTAGTAATCGATGACTCTGTCAATGTGCAGTATAATTAACCTGGGAACCTGATTGTTAGCATCCCACCACAGTGCAATACGGGAGCCAAATGGGGACTTAATCATTGCCAAAAGGGAGCCCCACAGTTTTCTCCTCTGTGTTGACCCGTGGGAGCGCAGAAAGGAGGTGCTACATCAAGGGGACAGGCTGGAAAGGAGTCAATGGAAACTTTCTTAGGCAACTTCAATGCTCGTTATCTTGATTTGGGTGACAGATGCAGGGTGTTGACATTTCTCAAAAGTTTTTTTTTTATATATTTTTTTCTATTTGGGTGATGATTATAGGGTGTAGACTTATGGAGTCATTAGCTGACACTCTATGAGAAGTTAATGTGCACAAAGCTATTTGTGCGTTCTTGAGAGAACTGGCCACACTTCGTAGGTTATGTGTGGTGAATGGGATGATGCATTCCAGAGCCTGCAGAAAATAATGCACAGGTCGCATTATAGGACAGAGTTCTGTGCGAAGATGAAGAGCACAGGACGACACAGAAACTGGGGTGGCCTGTCTGGCAAGGCCCAAGGGTGGGGAGAGGTCCCCTGTCGTGCTTGAATTACATCGAAAAAGGCTGAACAGGCGTCATTCAGAAAGAAGTGTGTGTGTGTTGGTCAGGGGGGCATTAGGACGGAGAGTCCCAGGGGGACACAGGGTACACATTTCCTCGGGAAAGACCACATAATACATCCATCAGGTGAATTCCAGAGAGTAAAGAGAAAGGTCAGAGGTAGTCATTGAAACGGAAGATGTAGAGTTGATAGCACACAGAGGGTCTTCTGTACCATAACCAAGATGCACACTCATTTTGCAACAAAGGGTTTCCAAGAACACCGCGTCAGGCATACGGCAACACAGATCATTTCTGTATAGGGAATGAGTCATGCCCTTTATAGTGAATGAGTCATGGCCGCGTCTTACCTATCAGTGCGGTACTGTACCCTTGCCCCTTCAGTAAGGCTGCAAACGTTGTCTCGTTGCGAGGGAGTCCAGCAGGAGCTCCGAGTGTGTGGATCACACGACTGACTTTATTAGAAACCATTCCTAAATGGGATGAAAAAAGAAAACCAAAACACAGAACACACATGCAGTGAGTAGGTTCCGTCACATGAAGAGTAAGGGAGTCACGGGGAGCTCAGGAGCTGGAAGAGACAGAATAACGAGCGAGGAACCCAAAACCATCACGTGGGCGAGGAGCCTCATGTTCCCCAGACATAACTCACACTGGTCTCCCCTAGGCACCCCTTTATACACTCGCATGCACACACATGACACTCCTGGACATGCACAGACGCACCACTCAAATAACACTCTACACGTAGCCCCTTGCAAATTTACAGCAAGACAGGGCATCATATCAAGACACACATAACTGAACATCTAACACAGGCTTACTCTTGGCCAGGGAGGCCATCGTGTTGGGAAAAGAGCCAAAACACTGAAATCGTGAAAACCTCAAACCCTATTGCTCTTACGATGAATGTTTTTTCTGACAATAGGTTTTAGTATTTGTACAAAAGATGGATATGCCGAATGTCTGTTGAGGCATCTGGGACACATGGATATAGAGTGTTTGAACTTCTCTATTCCCTCCCCCAAAACAGAGCAGTAAGAAAGGAAAACTGCTGGGGCGCCTGGGTGGCTTAGTCGGTTGGGCGTCCGACTTTCGCTCAGGGCATGATCTCGCGGTCCGTGGGTTCGAGCCCCGCGTCGGGCTCTGTGCTGACTGCCAGCTCAGAGCCTGGAGCCTGTTTCAGTCTGTGACTCCCTCTCTCTCTGACCCTCCCCTGCTCGCGCTGTCTCTCTCTCTCCTAGAAATAAATAAAACATTAAAAAAAAAAAAAAGAAAAACAAAGAATAAAGAATTTAACATTTCCTGGACCTGATTCACCTTAGCGCCCAGTAAGCCAGCTATCATCAACCTCATGGGATGCAAAAGGTAACACGACAGCCTCAGGAGACCAGCAAGGGGCTTGTCAATCTTGACTAAGAACTGGGCATAACTCCCGACCTGTGAATGATATGCTCTACTTCTTCTTCCACAATAGAATCTGTGCCCGTAACACCACGGCCAGTCTAACCAGCCTTAAAAACATAACCATACAACCCTGCCATTCCATTCGGTGGCATTTATCCAAGACATCTGAAAATACACGTTGAGTTAAACACGTGTACAGGCAAGTACACAGCAGAAGTGTTTGTAAGAGCCTAACGCCCGAAACAACCCAATGGTTGGTCAATCGAGTGATGGACAAGCCAAGCGTGTTGCATCCATACAATGGTTGGAATATGTGATAAACGTTTGAGACACTGTGGTAAGTCTTCCTCATGGCAGTCAGATTACTGAAGACTTATTCTATTCATTGCTTCCTTCCATGACGGTTCTCGTTCTTGCCCTGGGTGGAAAGTCCCGCCTACGCCTAATTGCAGGACACCGAGGAGAAACAGTGAATAGATGTAACCAGGTGAATGGCTGTAACTCAGCCACTCAGGTTGGGCTTCGGTTGACGGGGACGAGGTCCGCAGCCGTGTACGCGTGGAGGTGTGTGTGCGTACGTGCGTCTGCACGTTTAGGGGCAACCTTTTCAAAATGGCCTAGCCACCTATTTACTCCCTTGAACCTTAATGTGTACACAGAGAGTAGCAGAAGTTTGTCCGTCTACACACCTGATCGGATGGGGTATCTTCCCGTGAGGAGGGCAGCCCGGCTTGGGGTGCACAAGGACGCTGCAGCGATGTGCTGTTTCAGCTGCACACCTTCCCTGGCTAAGCGGTCGATGTTAGGCGTCCTGGAAAGAGAGACAGAGGAGAATTGCAGAGGGAATGATGGCGGACAGAGACAGAGACAGAAATCACCACTGCTGTTGGCTATGATTCCCTGAGCTCAGAGCCAGAGAGGAAGTAACTGCACACAGCACCCTATTTCCTTTTTTTCTTCCCGAATCACAGAGAAAGTACAGCTGAGGTTTTAGGCAGTGGCTGGGTACTGCACAGTTGACATAATTTGGTTCTGCCATGTGATGTCTACTGAATAGATTCAACGAGTATATTTAATGGAGGCGCCTGGGTGGCTCAGTCAGTTGAACATCCCGCTTCGGCTCAGGTCATGATCTCATGGTTCGTGGGTTCGAGCCCCACATCGGGCTCTGTGCTGACAGCTGTCTTCAGATTCTGTGTCTCTCTCTATGCCCCTCCTCCGCTCATGCTTGCTCTCTTGCTCTCTCTGTCTCAAAAATAAACATTAAACGCTTTTTGAAATAAAATATATGTAAAAATACTTACGTGTCCATGGGCTGATGAATTAAGGCTAATGACTTACAGACCTTAGTTATGCCTAGCTACTTACAGACTCAAGAGTTAAGTTCAATGCACAGGCTCTACAGACAGATGCCTTTGCGCTAGACCAAGTTTGCAACCTCTGCCTTGTGTTTTTTCCTACAAAGATATGTGGAGGTTGGAGACAATCAGAAGAAAAACAGTCCCTGTTTAATTTCAGGAGGCAGTCAAACATATAATGACACCTGACTTTCTTCGTATGAGACACGATTGAACAACATGGAATTATTAAAGTATAGGATTCACACATCTTGCCCTGATGCACCCCTAAACCTCTGGGTAGGCATTACTCATGTACGTGGCTTTTGTTGCCTATCCCAGAACTCTGAGTCTGTTTCATGTACGTTTTTTTTTTTTTTCTTCCAGAGCACCAATTCTTACAACAGAAGGATCTCCCCTTAAAAGGTCTGTTGGATTCCAAAATTCGGAAGAGTAAAATTTCCAGGCACACCGAGAAAAAGTATACATAGAAATCATGACTCATCAAAAAAGTACAGATCATGGAAGGCTCGTGACGTGCCAGGTAGCTACTCTAAGTGCCTTGAGCATATGAAGCCACACTTGTTCGCTGCTCACCTGTGCGCTTGACCAATCAGAAAGCTAAGAAAGGCACACAGAAGTCAAGTCACTTGTGCAAGATCTCAGAGCCAGTAACTGCAGAATCAACATTCTAGTCCAGACGGTCCTGGTTTTAATATTATTTGCTTCTTTTAAAGACAAAAAAACCCCATGAGTTTGGTTTTCCACATGATGTAGTCATAAAACCTCGTCAACCTCCAGAGCCGAGGCAACAGATGAAATAGCACAACTCAACGTGAAGCCATACCTCACCGTGTCATTGCCAAAACAGCCCAAGTCACCGATCCCAAGATCATCCGTGATAATCAGGAGAATATTCGGCTTGTCTTCATGCACACCCTGGGCCCCGCATGGGTTTAAGAGTAAACACATCCAAGACAATGCGATGAAGAGGTTCCTAAAAAGGAGGAAGGGAGTCTACAAGGACGGGCTCGGGAGTTACATCCCATTCCAATGTCCCCATGAACACAGCAGGGCTCACGGGACACCAGGCAATCTCCCAAGGAACAGGTGAGCCTCGAGAATTTCTCTTCCCAAGCATTGGCTGCCACTGTTGAATGGGGCCCGCAACTCTCAGAGAGAGTCTCTCCTGGAACCCCAGCTCACATACACCAAATGCTCTTCCAGGACATGAAGTCTGAAATCATTTACTTGAAGGCAAAGCGTGTATCAGGTCAGAGGCAGTAGGACTATGAGGTCACATCCCTGGAAGAAGAAGCCCTCTGACTTTCCTTCACGCTGGAATTCAAACCCGGGGTGGGGACACAGAGTTTTGCCAAAGGGACATTTAGTTGGAAGGAAGGAAAACAGCAAGCAAAACAAAGAAAAAACAACCCCAAGGCAAAGGAGAAGGGAGAACATGGTTGAAGACCTGAATCGTGGAAAAGGAGCACCCTGGATTCTGAACACTAATCTAGTCCCCTTCATGATTATGCTCAGCCCCCAATGAAATCCCCATTTTCCAAAGAAATATATAATCCCCTTCCCACTGGGTCCCTACTCAATTAGCAGGCAATGAGTATTGGGCGCTTGAACTATATTAGTTGCGTCTCCATCTGGTGTTTATTCACGTTTGAAGACCCACCTCAAATACATCTTCTCGGAGGAGACAAATGGCCGCTAACCTTCATCCGCTCCCACAACCTCTTGATAAATGCTCGGAAATAACGCTACCATATACAATTGCTTTTCTCGCATCCTGTTTTGACATTATTTCATTTATTTTTATTTTTGATTTTGAAATGTAGTTCATACACGATGCTCCGTCAGTTTCTGGTGCGCAACGCGGTGATATGACAACTCTATACGTTATGCTGTGTTCCCCATGCCCGAGGCTACCATCCGTCACCACACAATGGCAGAAAAATGGGTACAATCTCTTAAAGTAATACAACTCTGTTGGAAATTTAGTCCATATGGTATCTGTTGTCAAAATATCTCTCGTTTTGTCATAGATTTGCTGAATCCAGAGCATCAATGCCAACCATACCCAGAAAACATGACATTGAGTAAAAAAAAATATATAAATAAAAATAAATAAATAAGAAAACATGACATTGAGTGCCTGTTATCTATAAATAACAGCATCTATACATCTGGGGAATCCACAAATTTCCCATTAGATTCAACATACTCGCAAAACAGCTACTTTCCTCACCTGAACTTCATGATACAGCACTGACTGGCTTCCAATTTTCTTTGGTCAGAGGAAAAATGTGCTGAAAAAGATAAATGTGTTATTGCCACATTAATTACATGAGTCCCCATTGTGAAACCCTCAGGATACTTCAAAGCCATACTTCTACTTTCAACATTTACCATTGGCGTTCCAAATCTGTCAACCTATGACCTTTCCATCGTTAATGACCTACTGCTCATAGTTTGTTTCTACGGAGCTTATGCTGTCCACCCGCTTCTTTCTGCCTCCTGAGACAACAGGCTTAGTCTCTAAGGCTACCCTAAAACATGTCTGGATGACAGTATAGTCTTGAGGAGCAGCTGAACATAAGGGCTTATACTCAGAATGTGTAAGTGGGATGAATTTGGGTCACCTACAAAGAGGTAATCACTTCAATGTATCTACTGCTTTGGTTTTGTATTAGCGCAAATTTCACAGGACTATATGGTGATATATGGATAGCTAATCATTGTATACAAAGAGGGGGAATTTATGATATGCATATAATAAACAGCGAAATTTACTGCAGCAAAAGAAAACAGATACCCGTCTTCCACCTGCAAGCTATTACTCATATTTGTATTTAAAATAATATGGAGAACATAATAAGAACCACCTCCTTCATCAAAATCTGTCCTGCCCAAAACAAGATATCACCAGAGACCCCAGAGAAAGAACAATAGGCTAAGAAATGGAAAGGAAGGAGGGAGAATGGAGAGAAGCTTACTCAAACAAACATTGGTTTGGAATCAACCTTTCAATGCCTAAGCTGGTCCATTAAGTTCTAGAAAATAGTCAGCCAAAGGGGCTTCCAAAATCCCACCTCTGCCCATGACAACAGAAACTAAGCAAGAAGCAAGAAGACGGGAGCCTGGGGGCCTCAGTCGGTTAAGCGTCCGACTTCAGCTCAGGTCATGATCTCACGGTTCATGGGTTTGATCCCCGTGTAAGGCTCTGTGCTGACAGCTCAGAGCCTGGAGTCTGTTTCAGATTCTGTGTCTTCCTCTGTCTCTGGCCCTCCCTTGCTCACACTGTCTCTCTCTCTCTCTCTCAGAAATAAAAAAAGAAAGCAAGAAGAGCCCAGCACGTCCATCCTCACAAGGCTTCCTTGACTCACGGGTCCACAGTGTGGTCTACCTGACCTCCAGGAAGAAATAAGATAGTGGTCGTGAAGAACTCTCGCTCCTCCTCAGCAGCCACCTGGAGTCATTAGCTGAACGTGAGCCTCCCCATATAGCCTCTCTCTGTGATGGGCAGGCCGGTCGAAGCTCTGCCCATCCAGATGGTTCAGATTTGTGAGACATAAATGAGGCAATCTGATTTGTCTCTCAGATTTGCATGTCCTTATACAAGTCCAGGGAGGGGGGGAATTATAGTCAGTGGAATACTTGCCATCTTCCTTGCAGTGAGTGTTCTTATCTGTGACTACCACCAGAATGATTCATCGAGATGAAAATTGCCAGCCCTCCTACGGAAGAATCATTGTTTGATCCTGCCCATTACATTCTGATGACTTTGGGAACTCTGGCATTGCCTCAGGGCGATCTGTGAACCTGACTAACGGAGAGATAATACAATGTCTCCCCGAGCCCCAGGATTATTTCTGAATTCTGTTTGGCAAGATGAACTGTGGGGAGTAATTTGGGGGCTTGTGGACGCACTCTGTGTCAACATCGCCATTATGCATCGAGTGAAACAGTGAAACAGCCAGTCTTCCACGTGACGAGCAGATCTGGGTGTATAAGAACCAGGGCATTGTCATCCTACACATGAAGAAAATACGGTGAACACCCAGTTAAACAAACCAGAGCAGTTTGCCTGGAAATTAGCTACACAGATTATCATAATACACCCCTTTTTCACCAGAACATAGTTTTTTGGTTCTTTTTATCAGATGGGATGTTTTATTCACGTGCTACTGTGTGATTGCATCAACCCTAGATGCCCAGATCCTGGACCATCAGATCCAACATACAGATTATTCCCAGGTCGTCTTTGTTCCCTGGGGGACTCAACATTGGAATTGTGTAAAAACACCAAAAAGCATGTGTTAAGAAGTTCTGAGCCCATTCTCCAGAATGAGCACCACAAAGGGCATACCAACTTTTCATCCCAAACAATAAAATATGAAGCATAAAAGTGTTTCTACAACTCCATGATCACCTGGTTTAACGTCTCATCTGTGTGTTAATTCAATGGTTGTTCTCCTTCCAGTCCTGGGGGCTCTCATTCTGCATCCCATCTTCCTTTGCGTTGTGTGGTGAGTTTCTTAAGGGACTGCTCAAGACCTTACTTATCATAACATAAAACATTTTCCACTCACATACTCTTACTCACGGCAGGGTCTTTGATTCTCTGTTGTCAGTAATTTGTTTCAACAGGATTTGCCGATCTTGGTATGGTCTGTACTTGGTGTTAACGAATGCAGCAAAGTGGCCATTGTCTGTGAAGTTTCAAATGTCGATTAATGCTACTAGTCAGTCATCGCCACGTAATGCAACGAAGCCATCATTAGTAACCACCTTGAAGTCCAGAGAAGACGCCAGTGGAAGACAGACACAATGGGTTGGCCAGACTGGGGATATGCACCTTGAGTCGTATTAATCAGATATGAACCTGTTAATGATGATGATTTGAAAGCAACTCTGTCCTCCGATTGAATGCTTGTGGGAATGTGTTCGAAAACCCTGATTTTACCTAAAACAGGTCCTATGTGGCACTTGGCTACTATCGTTGAGAGACATACATGAATCTTTTTTTAATGTTTACTCATTTTTCAGAGACAAAGAGAGAATGTGAGCAATGGAGGGGCAGACACACACACACACACACACACACACACACACACACACACACACAGAATCCCAATCAGGCTCCAGGCTCTGTGCTGTTGGCACAAGATCCGATGTGGGACTCGAACTCACAGACTGCAAGATAATGACCTGAGCCGAAGTCGGATGATTAACTGACTGAGCCACCCAGACGCCTCTTGAGACATACGTGAATATTAAGATATAAGCCCTAACAGGACACTTGAACATGATGTCAAGTAGATGCAAACATTCATGATCATGTTGGGCATAGTATCCCTGGAGAAGATCAATGTCTTCCATGAAAATCTGATAAGACGTCTGCCTCATTTTTTTGAGAGTGCACATTGTGTCTGTGGAACAGGGTATTACCTCTGTTAGATCATAAATAGTCATCTGCTTACACGTCCTCTGATAATTTAAGGTGTCTCCCTAACAAAGGGTTATCATTGTCATGCTTCAAAATGAACGGGTGGTAAAGTCTCCATAAATCATCCCAAGTGACACAGAATCAGATTGTCCTGCCCTCTCTAGACATGAAAGATGCATCAGCCAGATACTCGATGATTAGTGAGGAGAGCAAAGTCTTGCAGAACACAAGAGTTTCATTCCTTTCTGATGTGGACCATACTTTGCACCACACAAAACACACAAGCACAAACCCAACTATGCCTTTCCGACGTCAAGTCGTTGCCTGTCAATACACACTTTCAGGGAAGCCTTAACACGCACGTCATTTCTGCAGTGAGCAACACCCTCAGAATAACCGTGTATGGGAAATAACCAGACCGATTGTCAGAAAACTAATTGTTCTGCTTTGGAGCAAAACTACATTGTTGCTCGATGGAGACTCTTGAATTCCAGAGCAGGAGGGAAATGTAGAAATGACAAGGTGAAATCAACAATCACAGAGGATCAGCCGAATGCAACCTCGGCTGAAATGTGGACACCCAGGCGCCCCCCGTACCCACTAGTCTTGATGTCAGCCCCCTCCACGTGGGCTCTCCAGAGGCACTGAACAGATTGCTCTGTAACACACGGGGTTAAATCCCAAGCTCGTCGGATTGCAGATGTAGCAAATAAATTGCCCAGCTCACCCTGAATGTCAATGAAATGGGCAGTGTTCATTTTCAGGCATGCGTGTCCCAAATATCGTGTGGGAAGCTCACATGGGGAAAAGTAAGGGTTGCTTGTCCGGAATCCAAATCTAACCGGAGCGTCTGGTGTCAGCTGAGCAAATCTGTAGACAGTGAGCTATGGCTCTGAGAGCAGATCCATTTGAACAATTCACAGATAACCAGTGTGAGACTGGTTAAAACGCAACACCTGACCTCACCCGGAGGAAGTACACAGAGCCATCCTGCTAGTAATGGCTCAGGTCACTTTACACCACTCATAGACAACAACCACTGAGAAAAATAATCTCTTGGGGGCCTGCGTGGCTCAGTCGGTTAAGCATCCGACTCTTGATCTCAGCTCACATCTTGATCTCAGGGTCGTGAGTTCAAGGTCCATGCCCAGCGTGGAGCCTGCTTGAAAATAAGTCTCAACAAACTGATGGGACAGAATTTTTTTCTGTTTTTGAAAAGGGCCAATGTGTGTGTGTAAGGGTGTGTCTGTGTGTCCGTATATCTGGGTGTGAGTGTACATGTGTGTGCATAGGTGTTTGTGCATGGATGTGTTTTTGTGGCTGTGCCTCTGTGTGTGTGTGTGTACGTGTGTGTGCATGTGTGTGCGTACACCCCTGGAATGGCCAGCTGATGAGCAGGGCAGCGGACGCAGCCCCACTAAAATCCAGGCAGGGCTGTGTCTTTGACTTAAGGTCTCCACAAATACCACACTCTGGTGTTGTGAGTTCTGCACAATGAACATAAGAACCTCAAGAAGAAAAGGATGGGATCTTGCTGTTCTTTATAGAAGAAATCTTCAGCCTGGAAAACCCACAGTCAATGGAACAACCGATGGAAACCAAAAGACTCAGGGATCTACACCAAAGTGATGCCTTGCAGCGTCATGGCCAAGTGCATGGAGTGAGGCAGAGGCAGGGGTGCGTCCCCAGGCCCGGCTGGTTAGGATAGGACAGAGTGCGGGTGCGGAGCCGCCGGACATTGGACTCTCACGGCAAAAAGGAAACAGAAAGTATCATTTGGTGCCACAGCGGGTGGAAGACACAGTGAAGGATTTGGATGGTGAACGGGACACATGTGCATCCTACGGGGAGCGGCGTGTGAGGTGGGACACGGGGAGAGTCACACAGTCACCCGGCATCCAAACCCCTCGGGGAAGAGCCCTACAGGGTCCTCACTTTCCGGGAACCGACCCCTCTCCACGGCTCCCACAAGACGGACCCGACCCGCTCCAACCCACCCCAAAGACCCAGCAACCTTCCCCGTTGCCCCACACCCGGTAATAACCAGCAAAGAGGACGTGACCCGACCTTAGATACCAGGAAAGAAACTTGACCCCGGAAAAGACTCCATGATCCAAAACACAGACGTCCCTCTAAAAATTCAGAATACGCCGCAACACAGAATTTCTGCCCAAAGCAGAGAAGCCGTGCTCAAAACCACTCACGGAAGTCATCAGCGGACCTTTGGGACTGGAAACGGGTAGGGGGCGCCACGCAGAAGGAGCGACGACACTTCGCGATGAGAAATCGGTCCTGCATCAAAGCCGGCAACGGTCGTCACATGATGGAAACCCACAGGATGTGGGATGGATATCATGATAGGCCAGTGGGAAGAGCGAAGCGTGCAGGCGGACAAACGTTTAAAGACGGACAATGTCCGTGGTGAAAGGGATTCCAGAAAGGCACGAAGAAACACACACACACACACACACGCACACACACACACACACACACACGTGCGATAATCCAAGAGAGACCAGAAGACTGCCTTCATGAGTCCCAACGACAGATTCAAACCCATATTGCCTCAGAATCCAATAAAATGTTGGGCAGGGACACTCCCTGGCCATTCATGTGTTTGTTTTCAGCTTAAAGTGCAAAGGATAAACCCAGTACTATCGACGTGGGGAGAGATAAACAAAGGAGGTGCCCATTTAATGGAAATACGTGCCGTCCTTACTCAGCAGTGGATGCGGAACTCTGGGGCTCACAGACGTCTGTGTGGACGCCGTCCAAGTTTCCTCCAGCTCCTGCAACAAAGAACCAGAAACTTGGCGGCTGACAACAACAGACGTTCGTTCTGTCCCCGTTCTGGAGATCAGGAGTCCGAAATCCAGGTGGGGCAGGGCTGGTTCCTCCCACAGCCTCCGGGGACAGGGTGTCCCCGCTTCTGAGGGCCGCGGGCGATCCTGGGCGTCCCTCGACGTGCCCCAACTCTGCCTCCGTGTCTACACAGCCTTCTCCCCGTGTGTGTGTGTGTGTCTGAATTTCTCCCTTTTTATAGGGGCACCAGGCATATGGCGGTCATGCCGCAGTTGGCTTCAGGGTGACCTCGACTTAACACGGCCGATGATACCTACGCCAAGCCTATTCCCAAACCAGGTCACATTCTTATCCGAGGTCCTGGGGACTCAGGGCTTCAGCGTGTGATTTGGGCAGGAGGGGGGCCATTCAACCCACAGCATATGCTCAACCGTCAAGCTCCACACAGACAGACACACACACACACACACACACACACACACCCTGGATCACCCTCCTGTCCACCCCCAGGCTCTGCCTGCCCCCCTGTCTTTCTCTCACTGGCACATCACACTCACCGCCACCTGGCGAACCCTAGGCTGGGGAGCTGCTTCCAGTGACCACCGGCGCCTCGTTCGAACGTCAGGTGGGTCACTGTCAGGCTTTGCCACCCGCCTTCCGCATTCACAGTGCCCGGGAAACCCCTCATTAGCCAAACCCAGGTTCCCAGCTCGTCCCTTCAAGCAGAACCGTAAAACCAGGTCCATTTATGCCTTGATTCACCTGAGTTGCCTGTGTATTTACAAGAAAGCAAAGTCCTATTAAAATGTTGTTCTTTTGAGCAAAGAAGGGTAGACAGCAGGCATCGCCAGACCTCATGCGGTCCCGAGGGCTGTAGCGACAGGAGCTCGGGAAGCGCTTTTTGAGGACAGACCCCGCCCCTGGGAAGTCCTCGGATCCCTTCTACAGCGTTGGGGGAAACAGAGCTGGCCGGCTGTTTACTGTCGTTTCCTCTCGAATTTCATTTCTTCCGATACAGATGCATTTGCAGGTTATGGTTTGCTCCATACGCCGTTACGGTATTTCAAGGCATTTTTTAAAATGTTTCTGTATTTTTGAGAGAGAGAAGAGAGAGAATGAGCCAGGGGGAAGGGCAGAGAGAGAGGGAGACACTATGAATTCATGACCTGACTGTAACCTGGAAGCTCAGCTGATGGAGCCCCCAGGCGCCCCTCAATGGACTTTTTTTTTTAATTTATATTTTTATTTATTATTGAGACAGAAAGTAACAGAGCATGAGTGGGGAGGGTCAGAGAGAGAGGGAGACACAGAATCTGAAGCAGCTCCAGGCTCCGAGCTGTCAGCACAGAGCCCGACGCGGGGCTCAAACCCACCAACCGTGAGATCATGACCTGAGTCGAAATCAGATGCTTAAACGACTGAGCCACCCAGGCGCCCCTGGACTTTTACTTTACATACACGAGAGTAATGTTGTGTAGCCCGCATGGTGTCCCTGTTGCGGCCACATTTCCATGTCACCACACCCATGTCCCTCTGGCACAACAGAACTTGGAACACAAAGTGCATGTTCCGTGAAAAGTGCCCATCGCTCAGCGTGGGAATCACACCCAGGAGAGCCGGCGGCTGTGGTGACGGAACGTCGCATCTCCGATAACCTCGTGCGGGAATGAATACGCCCAGCGTTTTAACCTACATACCGTGAGGCGGGAAGGAGTGTGTACCCAGAGCCTCTTTTCTTTCCTCTTTCCACACGTTCATAGTTTGTTTTCTTGCTCAGACCGGACGGCTGCCTGCTACGACAGGAGCACACACAATCAGGCCAGGACCACGGAGGCGCCTACGAATGCTATACAACCTCACCGCTCCCTCGCAGCCTGACCCGGGGCTTCTCCACGGCCCCAGAAACACGACGTGTCCAGATTCCTGTCCAGCTGGTGCTGATAGCCTTCCATCTGCTCAAAGCCATTGTGGGTTCAAGACACTGCTGTCAGAGGCTCTGAGTCCTGAGGGCTTTCTAGAATTTCCTGGAAGAAGATTCTGCATGTAAACCACGGGGAGGGGTGTGAAGTTACATGTGCGATTTCTCTGCTTGGGCTGCGGCGGGTTCCCTGATAGTTCCCGGGATGAATCAACACCTCGTGGAATCCCATCAGACCGCTGTGCGTGTGGGTCATAGGCAGCCACACTGTGACAACGTCATGTGGTTCAAACCAACAGGCTCGTCCCTGCCCCTGTGCACCGAGAAGCGAGTCTTGCAGTTGGGGAAAGACAGTCACTGGGAAATTCTGGAAGGTAACATCCATGCTGACCCATCTCTACCTGTGCAGGCAGGTGCCAATGTGCAATTATGGTGCCTCACTGCTATGCAGAGATGGCACCGAGCTTCACATGTGGCTGGGATGGGAGCTTGTTCTCTGTAGATCCACCAAAATATTAAATTACAGAGAGGATGTAGGGCGTGTAACGGGGTGATTATGAAAACCTTGGTCCCTTGGGCTCAAAGATCGCACAACTATGAAGTGCAGGGGGCGGGGGAAGCGTGTCAGTTCTGGGAAAGCAAGCAGAGAATAAATAGAAATCTCAGTACCCGGTGGGCAGATTTCGCCAGGCTGCCATTCCATTCTCCTTCCTGCGTCTTTCTTATTTATGTTTACGACGACAGACGCCAAGTGGGCGTCGTGCCCCTCAACGGTAGACGATTCAAATGCCACAAGATATTTGCTCGTTTTCTAAATTTGCCAGTGATCATCGAAGCACGTCGCACAGGGGCCCCTGGCTCTTGCACCACATAGTGGTGACGAAGTTGCATCCACATAATATATTATAAACATCGGACGCACAAGATGGGTACCACTAGCACAGCATGGATCACACCCTGACTCAAGGGTGCTGTTAGATTCAGACTTATTCTTGCCGAGAAATACTTAACCAGAGAGAAGACGGAAAGCATTCCCAGGGACTAGAAGGGAGTGAGAGGTTGTAAAAGGGCCATCGACCGCGAGCACGGGCGTTGCAGAGCACGGAAGGCAGGCAGGGGCCGCCATCGGTGGCCCAGGAGGGTTTTTCTTCTCTTAATTGAGAAAGCCAGAATGCCTGCACCCAGGGCATAAGTACTCACATGCGTAAAGCTTAGGACGTGCGTCAGAGATGGTCTCACAGGTAAGATAATATCACCGTGTCCACAGCTCGTTGGCAGCGCCCAAATTAAGAGCTCACCGTCACTTCTGGAAACGCTCAGCGTCCGTGTCGATGTCTTTCTGCGTCCGGCTGGCCAACAAATACATTTCCGTGCTCCTCAGCTGACAGCTCAGAAGTTCTCCTTAAAAACCTCGTAAATGGGGCTCAAAGAACCCACACACCCACGCCTGGGATTTAACTCATAGCTCATCTACTCATCGTGAGCGTCAGGGACTCCCTCTGGACCACGCGGCCCCACACCGTTTCTGGGAAAGCAAGTTCCTGCAAGTTGCCTCATTCCCGGGGCAAGGATTTGCACAGTTTCCAGCAAGCGCTCATTCACTAGGGCAGCTTGCCTGCAAGCCTTTCCCACAGACCATTAGCCTTTCTTTTTTTTCTTTTTAAATCAACAATCAATTTTACCTCATCATTATCCATGAGTAGTAATTTGCAATTATTAGCACAAATTGAGGCTAGCGGGATGAGCCTCAGAGACAGGGATTCCTGAAAATATTCTAGGAGTTTCTCCTATACGTTAAAAAAAAAAACAGAATCGTTCTAAATTATCTGTAGTAAGAGGAGGGGGTTAGAAAGAAAGGCAGGTATAGGGAACACAAACACAGCTCTCATTCAGGAGTTGGGATGCCCGGCTTTGGCTTCTTCTAGGAATATACAGTTTTGTTTTGTTTTCACTTCTTAGAGGGTATTTCCACCATAGATTAGGATTCTGACCTGTTTTCTTTGAAAAGTATAGCTCTGTAAATCTGTGTCGACAAATGAGGAAAATTACACTGGAGTCTTACGTGGGACCTTTAGTGCTATATTTAAGGAATATATACATATATTCTTTCTTTATGTTATATTATACTATATTAGATTACACTATACTATAATATATTGTACTATATCATCTTATACTATCCTATCCTATGTTATACCATATTATATTACATTATATTATACTATATTATAATATACTACACTACATTATATTATGTTATGCTATATCATATTGTATTATACTATACCATATAATATTATACTCCATTATATTATACTATATTATGTTATACTATACTAAACTATACTATACTATGTTATATTATACTATACTACACTCCATTATATTGTACTATATTATGTTATGTTATAATATACTATACTACATTATATTACATTATACTATACTGTATTGTATCATATTATACTCTATTATATTATACTCCATTATATTATACTGTATTATGTTATTTTATAATATACTATACTACATTATATTATACTATACTATACTGTATTGTATTATATTATACTATACTATATTATATTATACTCCGTTATATTATACTATACCATTCTAAACTATATTATACTATACTATGTTCTAGTTCTATGCTCATTATATTGTATTATACTATATTATGGTACATTATACTATTTTATATTATAGTATAGTATATTGTATTATATTATATTATACCATGCTATATTTTACTATATTATACTATATTGTATTGTATTATATTATACTATATTATATTATAATAGACTATATTATACTTATATTGTATTATAGTATACTCTATTATTCTATACTATACAGCATTATATTATATACTATATTGTATTTTATTATATTATATTAATCTATACTATGCTATACTGTATTGTATTGTATTATATTATATGATACTATATTATCATATGTATAGTATATTTTTCTACTAATCTGTAGTCAAAGTCAATGCTCAAAGCAGAAATACGAAAGAAGTGATCCAGAAAACGAAGTCCTCTCCAGCAATTTGAATGTGGGTCAAGATAGGAACTTGCTAAACAGTAGTGGGGACTCCTACCTACTTGTCTATGTAGAGCCTGCTGGCGAGTGTCGATGATTCGGAAAGGCGAGCCTTTGTGTTGCATCAGGGGAGGCTTGCAGTAGCAGCAACTCCCGTGGGTGAGAAAGCTTGGCTTTCCGACGACAAGGGGATGGGGAAATCTCAGAAAGGACTTTGAGTTAGAACCATAGGTGGCTATGACCTAATCAGTCCGGAAAGAATGCAACAGAGGTGACACAGGACAGGACACCCCACAGCCTTGAATCAAGAAGGGAACATGACTGCAGATCCCCACAGAGCCACCCTTTCTCTAGCTGGCACAAATAAAGATGCTGGCGCCACAAGCTTCGGGAAGCAGAGGCCTCTTGGATGGGCCTCCATCCTGCCTAGCAAAATTCACAAGGAAGAGGTGACAGCTGATTATATATGGTGAGTATATACACACACCGTATAGGAACACCATATACATATTCTGCCATATATATTGAATTATATTATCAGTTCACATTATAAATACATAATTGTATATCACATATATGTATATGTGTAATACGTACAATGCATAAGTAAATTTCATCTTCTGTCTTGCATTGTTATTCCCCTAGAAGTTTCTGATTGTCCGCCAAATTCACTATTCCATAGCACACCTCTCAGACATTCTGGCTTCCATATTGTAAGATGATGGCTGCCCACATTTATACGTGTATGACACGGCTGTCTTTTGGAGAAGGGCCTCCGTTAACACCTCTGAATACAGAGAATGGGTACTTCATCTCCTGGTCAGCGAGGGTAGCGTGTACACGTCTTGGCGATGACACAGGGACAGGAAGAAACAGGCAAGCGAGTGTGTCTACAGATCCAACTCCCTCAAGGAGGAAGAAAAAATCTACCAGACTGACTCCAAGGCAAAATCAAAGCCGAAACGACACACGATGTGTTCACCTCGGACAATGAGTTCTGGGTCAGAGAAGGCAACACCAGCTGATTCGGTGGCGTGGCATGCCCGCCCTTGTGAGATCACGTCGAACGGAAAGCCACGCCCAGGGGTGGCTGCCACGCACACCCGTGTTCTGCTCTCCTCCGGGACAGGCCTGGACTCTGGCAGGGAGAATCAGATGGACACCAGCCTGCCCGGCCCCAGCACGGTCACTCGCAGCGCGTGGGGCTGCCTCCTGAAAACACTGTGTGACAGAGAACAAGTGAAGAGAGATGTGATGATGCCCGTGAGGGCCACAGGGAAGGAAAGTCTCCTTCCGCAAAGGGGGCTGTGTGCAGTTTGGTCATGTTTGCCTCCCTTTTTCTGAAAGGCCACTGAGCCCTGTGTCGTCACAATGAGAATCGCTCTCCTTTTGTGACCCAGATTCTCCTCCTCCTACAATATTTTATACTTTATATGTAACTTACATATAATATATAATGATAACTTATGTATTGTATGTATCATATATATTATACGTAACACTATAACATAGAAACATGATATAAATTATATATTGTATGTACCACGTACTATATATAACATAGCAAACATGGTATAAATTATATATTTTATAG